GTTCAAGTTTAGTTCAATTTTGAACTGAACTTGAACTTGGCCAAAAGTTCAGTTCAGTTCAGTTCATAGGAACACTATATACTAGTAATCAGAAAAGCTTTGAAGGGCTATTTTAGATATAAAATTAGTAAACTTAAATACATCCTCCAAAGCTTTTACCACCACTGACATAAGAAATAGTCTATAGATCAAAATAAAGATAAATCAAAAGATGATAGAAAAAAAAAATAAATACTTAACATTTTAATATAAGTATAAATTATTTTATAAAACTACTGGGTTGCTGACATTGATTATAAATAAACAAAGGAGGTTTTTTTTGTTTGTTTTAAATTTATGATTTATAAAAAAAGCAAAGGCAAATTCGTGATATTGGTTATATGATCAATACTAAAGATAGAAACCTTAGAGACCTTGTATCTTGATGAATTTTGACAATTTTAAAGAAAATCTTAAAGATATTATTAATGATAAAAGCTACTATTCTGATAAAATTTCAGAAACAGATATTGAATTTACAAAAGCAGAAAAGTAACAAAAAATATCTAAATAAAAAGACTAATAGCTATGTACTTCATGTTTATGATAAACCCTAGAGATCTTATAGAGTAAGTAAGTCTATTTTTAATTTATTTATTTATTTTTTATTTTATTTAACTATAGATTAAAAAAATTTTGCAGTTGGCTAATAAAATAGGAAAAAAATATCTCATATTAAATTGTTAAGAAAGCAGTAAGACAATAACAACAAATAGGTCAATAAATCAAATTGTTCAAATGATATATCTGAGTGAATTATTTCTGCTTCTTATATTTCAGAAGAAGATGACAACAATAAAAAAAGAAGTAGTTCCAAGTGGTAGTAGTAGCAGTAGCAATAATGGAGATACAAGAAGTACTAGAAGAAATACCAGAAGTCCTGTATATTCTAAAAACAATACCAATAGAAATTATAATAAATTATATAATGATTACAAAGAATTCTAAAATGAAACTGATAATAATAATGAAGAACATAACAATTTTGGCAATGCAAATAATATTTTTGGTAAATAAAAATTTTATCAGAACAGCAACTTATTATTTTTTTATTTTATAGCTTTAAATATTGTATTACATATAGTTGATATAATATATTTTTTGTAAAAAATAATTATATTATTAGTATTAGTATTAGCAATTATATAATATATAGCATATACAAATTACAATTAAAATATTGCTTTCAATAATATGTTATATATAAGTTATACTTTTCTATTGTAAATAAAGGTTATTGAATTATAAATTGATAAACATATTAATTAGTAAATAGCTTTATTCAATATACTGATAAGTCTCTAAAAAAACTGATAAGTATTTGATATTCTTTTGTTTAATAGGTTTACAAGATACTATTAGATTTATCTAAGAATATTATCAGAACCTCAACTAGAACTATAAATATTATAATAAAAGATATCTAATAATTACTAAAAAGTCTTGAATTTGTGCCAAAAATCTGTTTCAAATTAGTTACTTAATAGTAATATTTTAGATTAATTTAGCAGATAGTTGTTATATAAGTATTAGTACTTTTTAAAAAACATATCAGCATACTGATAGATATCTAATTTAGTTTTATTCAACTTGTGCTAAACTTACTAGAATAGTTAAAACTTATCTAGATTTGATAATTTAAAATATTGTTAGTAGAAATGCTAAAGTTAATCTATAAGAATATCTACATAAATATTTTTTTAATAGCTTTGCCAAGAGATAGGCAAGTATTATCTTTGTGTTAGTAATCAGGAAAATCACAACTGCAACTATAGATGTATAGAGATCTAAAGTAGTATATAGCTATTTGTGATGAAGTATAATTATCTTGTAAATTATTAATAGATCTTAATGATATATTATATTGTTATTTCTATTCTATAAATTTTGCATAATATGGTTTTCAAATTTGGTTATATATATTTTGTGATAGCTGTAAAATAAATTTAGTAGTAATTTTATTAGCTGTTAAATTAGAATTAGTGAATTCATATATAGTTTTTATAAGTGTAGTAAAGATATAACCCTGAATTGTAGTATATATATTTGTATTAGAGTATGTGCAATAATTGAAAGTAAGATACTAATAGTTAATGAGTTTGTTACAAAGATCTTGAAGCTGTGTACTTGTTATATTAAGTCTATTGAAGTAAAAGAATTGTTATATTGTACTAGTGATAATAAAGCTTAAAGTAGATATATTTAGTTAGATTATTCAAATAGGTCTAGTAGATACCAAGATATCTTTGAAAAACATTTTGTCAACTATATAAAATTCTTTATGAACAATCTAAAGAATTTTTTTATATAGTTAGTAAAATGTTTTTTAAAGATATCTTGGCATCTACTAGACCAATTTGAATAATCTAACTACCATTAGATTCATCTCAATGAGCTCTACAACTTTACTTTTTTATCAGCAATCCTGCTTTTATTATTTAAATCAGAAGTACCAGAACTTTATATTTACATTAAATATAAATTTTCTATACTATATTCCTATACTAATAAAAACTTACTAACTATAAAAGCCCAGGTGCGATCCATCTAAGCATCCAATTTACCTCACATTGGATCCTCAACTTACTGAGGATTTAATCCTTCTGATCCTTAGTTGAGAGCTGCTGACCTTGTCAGTGATTACCAAATTCTTTCCAATATGCTATAGCTGAGGTCTTGACTTGCAGTTTGATTACAAATATCTTCAATGACTGCTCCATTAGTAAAAATTATATATTTTTTCTTTATCAACTATCTTTTCTAAATTATATATCATATTTTTTCATTTTTTTTCTTTTGTTATAGCTTGTTAAGTTCTTCTATTTTCGTGATTAGGGATAGGAATTGGCTATATGATTTAGTCGACTAAATCAACTAAACATAGTAAATTACATATAAATTTTTTAGTCAACTAAATCGATTTCTATCCCTATTCATAGTTTCTTGAAAGATCTTTTTTTTCTTCTTTTTCTTTTGATTCTTCTAGCTTAGTTTCCTTTTTTTTTTTCTCTTTTAAACTTGTATTTGGGCTCAAATTTGTCTTCTTTGTGCTAGAGCTTGAATTCATCTTCTCTTTGATAGTCTGGCTTGTTTTCTGTGATCTTGTGACTCTAATTTGTCTATTGCTTCTTCTTGACTTCTTGTTGCTTTGATTTATATATTTCTTTTTCAAGTGTATCTTTTTTTTCCTTCTTTGGTTTTATTATTCTGATCTTCTAAATTGGTTATATACTGTTTTTTTTTTTCTTTTATTTGTCTGCTTTGCTTCTTTTTTTCTTTCTTTTTCTGGAAGTTCTTCTTTTTTATCGAGAGTTATTGTTACTTCTTGTATACTGTTATTTTGTGATTCTATCTTTCTTTAGATACTTTTTTTTTTTTTTTCTTTTTCTAATTTGTTATTCTTCTCATTTTCTTCAGTAAAGCCTTGGTGCTCTTTTTTGTTTCTTCTCTAGCTATTTCTATCTTTTTAGTATTGGGTAATATACTTGTTTCTTCTCTTTAGATTTCTTTCTTCTTCTATTTCCAGGTCCATATTTCTTTTTGCATTGTTGTATTTTCTTTTGTGCTAGGTTCTAGTTATTTCAAATTTCTTCTGAGTTATTTTGCTTCCCATGATTAAATTTCAGTCTTCTTGTTTCTTTCACAACTTCTCTAAGAACTTTTGTAAATCCTGTATTTCTATTATATTTTCTGTATTTAGTATTTCCCCGTAAGTCATACTTTGCTTTGCTTTAATTATGCTATATTGTGCTTTCTTATTAATTTTTTTTCAAGACTTTCTTTATTTTAATATTTTCTATATTATTTTCTATGATTTTCTTTGTTTCTGTTTTTATCGGCCATTTCTAATTTTTTTTCTCTTGCAAGTTTCTAAAGCATTTTTTTTGCCTTGAACTTGAATTTTCTGGCCAATTCTTGTATTGTTTTCTTGTTTTTCTTGACTTGTTTGTTTCTTCTCTACTTGTTAAATTTTCTATACAATGTTTTTCTAATTTTTCCTCATGTTGTTCTTTTTGCAGTAGTAAGCATTCTTTTATAATATTTAATACATAGAGATCTTGTTTTGTAATATTTGGCAAAAGGCTTCAATTTTGCTTTTCACAATAAAGTTGCAACATCTGTAATCTAAACTCTTCTTCTGTATCTTTGCTATATTGTTTTCTATATTTTTGCCTATATTCTTCTAACTCCTCTTTGTCTACTTCTGCTAATAGATTCTCTAGTGCATATCTTGCTGCTGCTAAAATTTGTTGTTCTTGTTTATTTCTAGAAAATGCTTTTTTAGTTTGCTTTATGTGATTTGGCTTCTCTATTGTTGTTGTTTTTCTTGTTGTATTTGGCGCTTTCCTCAAAAAATTGCTTACAGATAAGAAAAACTGCCATATTTCCAAGTTTTTTTCTATATCTTGATAGGTTTTAACTTTCAAATCTAGTCTTCTAAGAGACAGAGTGTTGTTTTATATCTTTCTTCTTTTACTTAGTTGTGTAAACTTTGCTTCTTAGTGCTGTTTTTGAGTTCTGTTAATTTTGTGTTTTTGTTTTTTCATAAAAATTTGTGTTTTGATGATTGTGAAAAAAGTTTTGAAAAAAAAGCTACTTTTTGAGCTCTATAGCTTTACTTAGAGACTCAAAGATGATTAACTTAGTACAAAAAAAGTTTTTTTTGGACAATTACTAGAAAATTTCTGCTTTTGCGCTTATAGTAATTTATATATAGAACCACATCACGTTTTACTATAAATATTCTTCAGTTTACTGGAGAATTATCAATTAATATTATAGATTATAAATCTGTATAGATAGTCATATTACATTGTATAGAATATATACTAATCATAGAGAGAATTGCAATTAATTCAGCTTTATATGATGAGAGCCAAAATTTGATTTCTGCAAAGAATGTTTGTTAAATAGTGTTGTCTGAAATTTGTATCTAGCCAATATTTATTATACATTATTCAATAGTAATATTACTAACTGATCAATCTGTATTCTTTAAATTATAGATCAATGCAAGCAAATTTGTCTGTATTGATACTATAAATATGCTAATGTTCTATTTTTTTAACAATTTAGAATATTTAAATAAAATTTGATATAATAATATTTGAAAATATAGATTCCTTTTTTATAGTATTTATTTTTAGATTATAAAAAAAAATTTTAGGTTACTTATAAACCAAAAATATACAATTTTAAAAATAATTTTTTAAAAAAAAATAGTTTAGTTTATCTATAACAAACTTGTTAAATATTAATTTTAGGACTTAATTAGGCATCGCAACCTGCGATGTGCTTATATATCGCATTTTAGATGATTGACCAATCAAATTTCAA